AGCTAATACAACTACCGAGGTATGTAAAGTTTTCCACAATCTCCAGTGGTTCTCCTTGAATTGTAAAGGATATGTTCGCAGATGGCGCGTTCTGAAGCATGACTTTGCAATTTGAAGGTGATAGGCGCATGCAAAAAGATGGAATGATGGTGGTCAGTCTGTTCAACAGGGATCGTGCTTCGGTTTGGTCTTGAAAGATGTGGTCGATTTTGTCTGTGTACCCCAGACCGACAACGACAACAGCGTTTGCCCCATTATTTCAGCAATGACGAAGTCAAACAAGAATGAAGAGAGTGAACATCCTTGTCGCATATCAGTCTTTTGAAGAGCTAACCATACATTTCTCACACACCCACAGGTACGTGAATAAAGGGATCGGATTATGTTCAAAACCCTCTGAGGCATACTCTGTTGAGCAAGTGACGTTAACAACACTGAACAATCAACAGAATGGAACGCGCCCTCGAAGCCAAAGAACCACACGATTGTGAATCGCCTATACATGTGGCGCGTTGCTCTAACATCCGACGGAGTGTGAAAATGTGGTCAACGCAGCGCCTGCCCGCTTGATTCTCATGAGCAAATGTTTCGCGTACCACCGTAGGACGACGAATAATCAGTGACGCCAGAAGCCTTGTCACAAGAGCAGTCAAAACAGCACCTGTGTGGTTACTCCGCTGAGAGTACCATTTTTGAGTACGATTATCGACTCAACCCAGTTGTCTGGGACGGTCTCCGTCTCCCAGATAGATCCAAATAGGCTAGACAGGCACTGGCTAAGAAGCACACCACAATCCTTGTAAGGAGCAAGGAGAAGATCATCACGACAAGCGGCACGATAAGCCGCCTTCTTAAGGCGGCTCCTTGTTCACGGTTCACCTTTCTGTTGGAGGCCAGGATTTTGGATGGGAGGTAGCAGGTAGCCAGCTGAAATGCTGTTCGAAGTGAGCAGCTATTCTCACCTGAAAGCGATAGTCTATGCGGGAGAGTACTTCGCACACGATAGGCCATCGTCTGCAAGCACCTTCTCCCGGCCGATGGGTACACCCATGAGACCGCCACTTTGTGGAGCGACTTTGGATGAGAACGGAAACCGACCGGCTCACTTTTTTTGGCAGGATATGATCAATGTCCAGGCAAACAAGTAAGTTGAGCAGGAGAGGTGGCCCTGTCGATAATCAAACATTTATTCAAGTCGCAAAAGTAGCCAAGATACACGGGACCAATCAGGCGAGCAAGCAGCGTACTATGAGACACACTGGAATGTGTGAGATGTGAAGCGCCCAAATGCGAATATAAAGTGGATAAATCTGAACGATTTGACCGGAAAACATCTGACCGATGCAAAGCGGGGTTTTTTTGGGCAATCTTCACAGGGGACCATACGTGTTCAGGCTGCTGGTCCCCAGGATTTCGGCATCCTATACAGAGGATTAGGCTGATAGAACGTCAAACAACGGTCTGAAGTTGGCACACGTATAACGTCATCATGGCAGCTTGTATAAAATAGAAATGATGTGACCAACGATAAACGCAAGTCAGGTGTCAAGCGAATATGGCAGGCGAATCTGCGACAATTTATTCTGCTGTCCACGCAGTACAACACACCACTGCAGATAGATACGGGAATATTCCATACGCATACGTGCATCGTGGCGTAACGACGGTGGACTTGATGCGTTAGAGTTAACAGCACCTGACCGTTTGGGTCGGTCATCCGCACTATCGGCCACCTTCGGATGTTGTTTGACCAGAAGCAACCGGAGTGCAGTTACGGCTTGGATGCCGAGTCGTTCCACCTTATTTTTCCAATCATGTGCCCTCGTTCGGACGATACAGTTTAAGTCGAGGAACAACTACTTTAGGATGTTCTCAGAGAGGGCGAATGGTGTTGAGTAATTTAGTGAGAAGCACCAATCTCGACTAGTTCTTCTGGCTGACCGCTATGGATCCAACCGATAGAGTATTGCGCAAAGACAAAGCGTGTTGAACAGCTGGTTGATACGTTTTTTGCTGACCAACTTGTCCTCTCTGAATGTCAACAGAGCAACCTACAAACTTACCCAACCAGAATGAAAACGAATGTGATGACCACCCACCCCATGGCAAGGCCCCAAACTATGAAAGCCTTGATAGTAGCACTTGGTAAGATCGGCCGATGTCGCCCACTGGACTGGGACCAGTTCATAACTCTCATATACGATGGGATGAATTTTCCAAAATGCCGTAGTCACTATCAGATTAGTTGGCCCAAACTATGAACTCCCATCCAAGAATCAGGCCCTGTAACTCAAATTCATGTCCTACACTCCAATTCGGTGGGGGAGCGCCAAATGGGGGCGCACGGTTGGACCAAGATGGAGGCGGAACTAGGATTGTTGCAATAGTCGAAGGTCACGTGGTACTTGGGCAGCCTTTGCCAATCTCCGGCACCGGCTGGACGGAAAGTTGTCCATCGACGGCAGAGTATACACTGAGACGATATGATCCATGCTGTTTTAGGGATCGAAAACGTGGTCTCTAAGCGCAGAGGATGTAGTAAAGCCCTCAGTGTTTGACCACCGGTTTCTCTGAAGCACTGGTCGGAGTAACGTTGAAGAAAGTCGGCTGGTTTTTAGGAGTTACGAGCTCTCTCGCTGTTATATCTGCCGATTCACCAATCTGAGGTATCCGCTGCTGACCCTGCCTAGTGTCGGAGAGAAAAGACTCGCAGAAGGGAACACAACAGCTATATTCCAACAGAGCGGGTGCGAGAGCGTGAGTGCGTGCGAGTACGAATGTACAACGGTCTCAAGCTATCTATTGGAGGGACACTGTCTGAACTCGGGCCAATGCTGAAACACGGTCTGGCTGCGACGTACTTCATATTGCGGGGGCGTTGTCTGACCTTGATCAACGCTGACTCGCGCTGTTTGGGTTTGATACAAGGCTCTGACGCGCTGCATATTGAGGAGGCGTTGTCTGTCTGGTCAACATCTAGCGGAGCTGAGAGTCTCGGTAGATTTCGGGCATTCAGTGGTTGCTTTCAGGAAGCTGACCTTCCCGATACTCGCGATTGATGAGTTACTCACACCCATAGGTTACGCTGGTTAGAACATGTACTTCACATGTCACAGGACCGTCTGCCTCGAACAGATCATTTCGCCCGACAC